CTGCCATAGTCAAATGGCGCGTTTTCACCGAGCGGTATGGTACGGTACGTGGTCGGGTCGGTACAGGTCGGGTCTGTTAACCATGATTTGTCGAGCGTTTCCACCGCCAACAGTACCCTTACTTGATAGGCGTGGTGTATTCCAGAAAGTAGTGATAACGTCACTTGATAGGCGTGGTATATGACGGAAAGTAGATTGACTTCAAGCTAACCGCAAACAACAATGGAGGACATACAGCCGATCCTGTTCGTGCTTCTCGATATGTGGCTGTTTGTCACAAGGAGACAACAATCTTTGTTTGAGCAAAGGCTACATGCTGCAAGCCTCGTGTGTTGTCTTTCCCCTTGCGGCACGCGCAAATGACGACACTCTTTCAACCAATCAACGTTCTGCAGTGAGTCTAGCTCCACCCTTTAGTACCAAACAACTGTGCCAGGTACCCCAACGGAAGGGTACCCAAAAAGTGGTACGGTACGGTTTGGATTTTTGGTACCATTCTCAACTTTTGGCAGTGGAGACACAAATAAAAGGGTACCGACCCGACTCGTACCGAACCGTACCGCTCGGTGGAAACGCGCCAAAAGTCACGTCGACACGAGTAGCCATTGGTTTCATGCAACGTTAGTTAGATTGCAGTGGGGAAAGTCCCCCGTTAACGCTACAGTTGCGCTTGCACACTTTTCTTTAGCCTCATGAATTTGACCTTTTTATATGCCCCTCTCGAGCTGTTAGCTACATTAAGCTGCCTGTAAAAGATAAGGAAGGAGAAATCATCTCAGTGTGCATCATGGTGACGTTAGACAAGTGATATTGGAGATCTTAGCTAGCTTCTTTGACTCTTGTAGACTCAACAGGAAGCATGACAAAAACTAAGTATAATTGTATTCATATCAATAGGGTATATGTATACACTAAGTACAACTTCCCAATTTATACCTTTCAGAAAAAGTGCTCATGGCAACTCTGCTGCTTCATTAACACGGGATGCCAGTTCACTAAAGGTAAGATGCCAATAGCCTAGAATTTGGATGATATTTAATTTCATTCATGATCAGCTGGAGAACCAATTTTGCTTAAACTGTTAAGGTCATTCCATTGCTGCATGGTGAGTGCCACCGCCACCAGCTTGTCTGCTGCCTCCAATGCCTCTGACGATACAGAGATTCTGTCCACGCACAGCTCATCACCGAGACAAAAGCAATGGCCTGAGTTTTTTGACATTCCAAATTTCTCAGTTGATGTTGAATTCCGACTGAGACAGGCTAATAAGGCATGTCTGCACGAACAGACATACCTGAATGTACTGAGAGACGTAAAGCATAGTATTTTGGAAAAGCTTGCTGAAACAATTTACTTATTTGATGCCTATCCAAAAGAAGAAAGGATCCATTCCGTGGCATTGGCACTAATTAGAAAACATCCCTGCCTGAAGGAACCAGGCTCACTAGATGGATGTTCTGGTTGGAAGAATAGCTTAAAATTTAAAATGGGGAACTATCGCACTAAATTGAGAAGAGTGGGATGTGTAGAGGTTGCTATAAATGGGTGCAAACAAGGTGCCCCTGAAATGGCATCAAAAGGCCTGAAATGACCAAAAAGGTTTGAGATAAATTACCTTACAAGATCTCCCCGATGGTCATGATGAAGATAGCCTAGAGGCTGTGAGAAAGCTTCTAGAGATGAAAAGATGGAACCCCGGTGGAACTGTGATCGCATCAAAGATGGACCAGACTTTCGCACTGCAGAGATGGGAGATTGTGGAGGCCGGACCTCCAGTGACAACATTGAAGGAGAGGTGGCCAGGTCTTTTTACAGCTATCTATTTTTGGGCTATCATATGCCTTACACTTGGACTACCCTAAAGCCATGAAAAACACTTTTAACTTCATTCAAAAAGCGATGGTTGGCTTGGGACAGGACAAACTTACACCAAAACTTCAAACCCTTAAACTTCTCCTGTTGAGTTAAAATATAAATGGCCGCATGAGTGACGTTCGGCATTTGATCTCACTTGTTGATCACAATAGTATAGTTTCAGGGTTTTTTTTGTTATGTTGGCTAAATTAAGGGACTCCTTTCAAATTCTCCTCAGTAGGTCTGTCTAGATCTGCCGGTGTATGTTTGAAATAGTGTGAGATTGATTGCCTGCCATTTATCTTTTCACGGCTTGCTATTGGTGTTAATGTAGGATAACATACTAAATTGTTCACAATATTCCTGTGGAAGTGAGCATTTGGTGTTTAAGATTGTTATTGTAAAACTTATAGGACTTGTCTATTTTATTACCAAATTATAAGTTTTAATAAATATTCAAAATGTATTGGAGCCAAAATCCAAAAGTATGTTGTTGGATGTGTTTGTTTATTGCCCAATAATTCAGTAACGTTTGGCGATTTTTTAATAATGTTGCTTATATGGTGCATAGATGCCCATATTTTCTATGACAATAGTTGCACACTGTCTCTTAAATGTGCTTTAAACCAGCACAATACAATTTTAAACACGTAAGTGCTCTGTGCCGTTTTTGAGATGTAGTGATATTAAGCAATACTGACTTTTTAGGAACAATCCTGTTTTCAGCACTTTAAATCTCAATGTCAAAATATGTGCTACACTGAGGATCCTCCTATACTGCTACCTCAACTGTTCAAAAGATGCACCCTTGTCTTGCTTCTGAGTAACTAAAACTGGTTTGTTGTTGCATTCAATTTAAAAAGAACCAATGCTGGTTGTTATGGAAGTAAGAAAAAATAAAAGCATATCATATAATTGAATGTTGTTTCTACTTTAATTTATTACGTATATCTGTAATTGGGATTCGATTTAATTCCTAAAAATCTCGTCAGCGGAGAAAAAAGACGCTCTTCCTTTAAGTTCATTTGCCGTTATACTGTTAAAAAATCCTGGTTTTGGTGATCAACTCTTCCGCCTTCTAACGTAAGACCATTACCCTGACGACTGACATCTGGTTCAAACTGAGAGTGACTCTCCAGAGGAAACCCATTTTGGTGACCTAGTCTTTCGGTCACGACCCATCCTTCATGACCATAGGTGAGGGTAGGAATGAAGATTGGCCGGTAGATCGAGAGGTTTGCCTTCTGGCTCAGCTCTCTTTTCATCACAACGGTGCGGTAAAGCGAGTACAATACCACCCACGCTGCTCCGATTCCGCGGCCAAACTCACACTCCATCTTCCCCTCACTCGTGAACAAGATCCCGAGGTACTTGAGGTCCAGGACACATTCAGGTTAAAGTGAATATTCCGGCTTAATCCCTTATCCTGGTTTCGTGCAATAGCCCTCTGGACTGGTAGTAATAATAATAATAATAACAATACATTTCATTTATAACGCAACAGAGCCAGCAGAACATAGCTAAAACATAGTTAAAATAAAGTAAAAGCAAGTAAAAACATAGGGGAAAAGCAAAACTTAAGAGTAAAAAATAAGTAGGTTTTTCGGGCCAGTTTTAAAAGAGTCCAGTGACTGTACTGCCCTCAGGTGGTCGAGGAGACCGTTCTATTTGTGTGGCGCTGCCGAGCAAAAGGCCCGGATGGCCATGGTGCCGAGCTTGGTGTTGGGGACTCGGAGGAGCGAGCAGCTTGCAGATCTGAGGGTGCGGGTGGTTTGGGGAGTGATTAGTTCTTGCAGATAGGGAGGTGCATGTCAATTTATGCATTTATGAGTGAGTAGTAGAACTTTGTAGTTAATCCGGAATGAGACAGGGAGCCAGCGTAGTGAGTGTCGGATGCGTGTCGTGCTCATATTTTCTGACTCTCATCGGGATCCTGGCAGCGCTGTTTTGGATGTATTGTAGTTTCAGGATATTTTTGCCAGTGATTCCAGTTAAGAGTGAATTACAGTAGTCCAGTCCTGAGGAGATAATGGCATAGACAAGCTTCTCTGCATCTGACAGGGTCAACGTGGGGAGGAGTTTGCAGATGTTTTTGAGATAGAAGGACGTTTTGCACGGGTATTTGATATGGTCATTAAAGGTCAGGTGAGGGTCAAACCTAACTCCCAGATTGGTAACTGTGGAGGAGAGAGGTATGACCTGACTGTCAAAGGTGAGATGGATAATGGAAGATGACTGAACCTGGTGTGGAGTGTCAACAAGAAGGGCTTCGGTATTGGAACTGTTTTGCTGGAGAAAGTTGTTGCTCATCCATGCCTTTATCTCCCCTAAGACAAGTGGTGAGACATGACATGGCTGCAGAGGGGCTTGGGGCAGTCTTGATGTAGAGCTCTGTGTCGTCAGCATAACAGTGAAAGGACATTCCATGTTTGCTGATGACACGGCCGATGGGGAGCATGTAGGTGATAGAGTGTAGTTTCTTCAGGCAGTAGCGGAGCGTAAACGTTGAGTTGACGCGTGTTCCTGTTTGTTTGGTCACATATCTCACACTGCTTCGCTCAGTTTGTGAAAGCCAACTGTCTTTTATTAGTCGTCACCCTGAGCAAAGCTGTTTCCGTGCTGTGAGCTGAACGGAATCCTGACTGAAAATTTTCAAACAAGTTGTTGTGCTTAAGATAGTCCTGAGGTTGAGAAGTAACTACCTTCTCTAGCACCTTGGACAGGAAGGCAAGGTTGGAGATAGGTCTATAGTTGGCTAGAACCGGTTATTTGGGGTGTTTCTGGTCTTTTTTCAGCGATTGCCACCAAGCTAAAAATTGAAATAACAACTAATGGTCGCCCAAACTGTTATTTTGACTTATACTTATATCTGTTCTACATTTTTTTTGTCCTTGTTTATACTTATACCTGTTTATTTGTTTTAAAAAGCCTACGTATGTGGAGAACACTGTAAAAACGGAGTCAAATTTAACCGTTAGAACTGACTGACTCTAAATGCATCATAGAACGTTTCATATGTATTCGCTATTCTTTTCCTACAACATTTGAACGCAACACGTAACCCCCGGCCTGCTTTGGTCACGTGGTCAATGACGTCATCAAAAGTGTTACTAAAACGTATGTTCCCACACATGTCATAACTACCGGCTTGGAGAGCGTCATTGTTACCGTGGATCTAACCACGGTGAAACTGGGGCAGTTATCTCCTTGGCGCTGTAGAAACCTCGGGACGAAATCGTCCGAGTACCCTGGCGGCTCTATAGATGCTACCAGTAGCTACCTTAGCTAGCATAGCGGGTGAACTTTAACCATCGCTGCTAACTGAGTGACGTTCAACTCCATCCAACTCAAGCGACGCTCACCAGGCAACAAGGGAAGCTCTCGCCGAATTCGAGGACGGATCTGAGCTCCACAGTAGTGCAGGTTTGTGGCGCTAACCGCCAACGAGCAGGGCTGATTGTCCAGTCCGACATCCTTTCAACGTTCGAGGTCATTCTACGGCGTCCGTCTAGCCGGCTGTTGCCCGGAAGCTAGCGCAAGTCATGAAGAGCCTCCCGTATTTCTGCCGGGGAGAGGTCATTCGAGGCTTCGGCAGAGGAAGCAAGGAACTGGGAATTCCCACAGGTGAGTCTGTCATCGTCTGCCATTAATCTGGACGAGCGACTGGGTAACGTTAGCTGACCCGCTACATGACGTTAGCATGCGTGGATCTCGTCGGGTCGCGTCTCAATCACAGAGTAACATCACCGGAGAGAGAACTAACGAGAAACGTTACATAATTACCATTGGACGTCTGCGATTATTACCTAAATGTCCAAAAGTCTTTCTCAGCGGAGGTTCGGAGCTTGTTACCAAATCGCACTGGACCGTTTTAACGACGACACCTGTTTACGTAACGAGCGCGCACCTTTTTTTCGTTTGGACCGCGATACGTACGAGCTGAACCTGGTGATCAAATGTGATGACCGAGTCCACAATTGAGTAGTGGCGTCATGTTTTAATCAAAGTGAAACGGTTTATTCCGAGGAAAGACCCGTTACGTCACCCCAGTGCATCGCCTGTCACCTATATGTGGGTTAGTTAAATGTGTTTTATTAAATGCATAATGAAGGCGCGATATCCAAAACTATATGTTAAGTTTACAAATGTTCATTGTAATTTCTGAGAGAAATTTGTTTCTAACCACGCAGAGGTCCCAAACAGTGCAGATATTGCAAAAAAGGTGAAGTGAAGGTCTCCCACCCTTAGGAGGAGAAGTTCCCCCTTCGCATGCTGAACGTTTTCTCTTCTTATTCTTCTGCCTCACTTTCTTTCTTTTAATCTCCAGCCAACTTTCCCGACTCGGTGGTGGACAATCTTCCAGCAGATATCGGCACAGGAATCTACTACGGCTGGGCCTGTGTCGGTAACGGGGATGTCTACAAGATGGTGATGAGCATTGGCTGGAACCCATACTACAAAAATACCAAGAAGTCCATGGTCAGTACAAGGAAAGCAGCATTCACTGCAAACTGCTTGGTGTTTTAATCCGAAGAGACGCGTGCACGTGGCAAATCTATTCATGATATGTTGAATAGTCTTTTACAATCCATGGTCAGAAGGGCATGGTCACACACAAATCAAATTTCCTGGCGGGACAAAATGTATTTGGAAAATACAATCCAAGTAACTGTTCGTTAGAAGGGATTGAATAACCGTTGTGCTGAATTCTCGGTTCAGAATAGTGGCTGGAGTCTGCCATGTTCTACATTGTGGTCAAACACACTCTTTCAGCATTTACTTATAATTATATAACTAACTTATTTTTATTAATTTCATATACCTTTTTTGTAATTCGGGTTTGACAACACAAGATGCATGTTGACCATTACAGTTCTCTTGTGAAGATCCGGATGTATTTTACATATTCTAGGAGACCCACGTTATTCACACTTTCAAAGAGGACTTCTATGGAGAGATTCTAAGTGTTGTCATGGTGGGCTACATCCGTCCAGAGAGAAGCTACAACTCACTTGGTAAGATACCAAACGTTGCTGTCAAGTAAAGTCCCACTACAATTACTGGGTGATTGTACAATTGTCTCACTCACAGACATCTTCTGCTATATTTACTCTTCACTCAACATGACCCCCCCCCCCCCTTTCCCTCAGCTTTGCACCTGACTTTGTTTCTGCATGTTTTTAACTCTCATTTTGTGTTCATAACAGAAGCGCTCATTGCAGCCATAAACAACGACATTGAGGAGGCCAAGGCCCAGCTGGAGCTTCCAGAGCCTCTCAAACTACGAGGCGACAACTTCTTCACCAGCGCGCCCAGCCCGTCCTCCGCTCCGACCCCGAGCAGCGCGTCCACATCACAGACTATTCTGAATGGTCACTGACAGCCGGCTCTGAACACACGCTGGTGTATGCGTTCATTAAAAATGCAGATCCTCATTCTGAGATCTCTTTGCTGTCATTATGGCTCCACGTGGACATAATCTAAAACAACCAATCCTTCTTTTTTCCATTGTGTTTTTCTTCCTTCTTTGGCCCAACTGTTTGTGTTGCTTTGTTTCAGCCACTCAATAGATGTTCATTTGTATATTCCTACAGCAGATTTCTTGTTTATAACTGAAAACACAAATGGTCCATAAACTCAACTCTGTGAATGCTCTCAAGCCAAGGTTGAAAAAAAAAAAAAAAGCTCTGTATGTCCTTTACTGTCAACATTTGTTTCTGTGGCAGATGTTCAGAGAGAGAAAGCCTGGGCATTATTATCTGTAACAAAGACACTGCTCACACTGTTAGATGAATATGCAACAATGTAGCGAAATGCAAGACGTGTAAAGATGTGGAGATTAAATTGTTAATGTAAATTTAGAGGGGTCAGTCTTCTCAAAGAGAATGTCTTTCCCTTCTAGTGAGACACAAGCCCTCTACCGTTTATCACTGCCGTAAAGTAGGGGACCCTTTTACATTTGATTCGGGGTTTTTGATAAATATGCAGAAATAAAAATCTTGCATAAATTATTAACCTATAAAATAGGTAAGGACTTATATTTAACATTGCTATATGGGTTGAAGTGGTACTCTTTTGACACAAACATATATTCAGAACATTTTTAGATGATTCAAGGAATGCACGTCGTCGTTCTATTCAGTGCAGCTTGCCTGATTCTCAGACCTACAGTCCACTAGTGTTTGTGGGTTTGTTACAGATAGTAAAACATTGATACTTGATGAGCATAAGGAGCACAACTCCTGTACTCTGCACTTATTTTTAGGAAAGGCAGCAGTCATTTGTTCTAAAAATATTAGACGTTAATGCAGACCAACTTTCTCACAATATTTTATGTTCGTTAGCTTCATTTTACATTCATGGGGTCTTTAAAAATGTTTGTGCTTGCACCTCTAGGTTTTACAAAGAAAATGGCACCTAACATGCAACTGTTAAATTCTTTCAACCACTGTTAATTGTTTTTAGAGAATTATGAATCTGCAAGTGTTCATTCGGCAGTAGTTATTTTTCATCTCATTTCTTTTCCAAGAACGATTCTATTGTCAGTCTCATAGGTTTTGTTTTACAGCAGTTTGGTTTTCAATTGGCAGGGTAATTAATGACAGAATCAATAGAGGAAGCAGCACTTCACTGTAATCATGTTGACAAATTCACTGCTATAAAAATCTTCTCTATGCTAAATGCTACAATATCAATTATATTCATCCTCCAAAGCACTTAATGTACAAAATAAATTGGAATGTAACTTTTGAGTTGTGATGTGCTGCTGCTTTAAACCTGTTAGAAGATTCGAAGATGGACGTTTTCATAACACTTATGATGCTGCTGCAGCAGAGAATGTTGGCAGGATGATTTGTTGTGATTATTCCAGTTTACACGGGGACCACAGGGTCACTGCTTGTAGCGCACCTCTTCTGTTTTCATTGTTTTTGCTGTAATGTAATCAAAATACTTTGGTCAATTTTATAACACTATTCTGGAAAAGATGTGATGGAAATATTATGTATTCTAAATTGGTAAAGCATGAACCAGGATAGAACATTGGGCCTCCGAGAATGTTGTTATATCAGGTCTAGCAATTAGGCCTATTTCTAAAATCATTTTTCTGTGTCCTGGGACCCTCACATCGGCAAAGGAAAAAATCCCCACCCTAAAAAATGTTCAATGTAGAGAAAAAATTAAGAAACCCTTTTGTTTTTAAGAAGGAAATTCTTCCCTGTTCCCCCTCTAACATGACCATGTCATCATATTGACGCACAAAAACACACATTTGAAAGTCAAATGTTCCCACAGCTATAGGAGTATACATGAGAGTCACAGCAAGATCAAAAAATGTTACTGTCCATGTCCACGTCATGAACACCATGTGAAAGACAGTAGCCGGTGTTCTTAAGCCATTGTCCTATATTTGGTATCTTGATTTATTAACCTAATGAGGAAGAACCAGGTGAAATCTGATAGTTTTATTCTCATTCAAAAACAATAAATTCAAAATTCAGGGCCAAAGTAAATCTAATTCTCAAAACCATTCCCATACACACCCATTTAATCAAAACAAAGTCAACGCCCCCTTAATTATTCTGACGTAGATTAGATATCACGCGTACATGGGTCAATAGTCCACGTGTCCCAAAGTCACTGTTGAAGCAGATTCAGGGTTTGTGTGTGAAGCGCGTGTGTACAGAAGAGACAGGAAGGAAAGTTCATGGCCAACAGAGGGACAAACGTAAGAGACGGTCCTGTGTTCTTCAATAGAGGCGAGCTGAGCAGCACCAATCAAATATCTGCAGCTCACGGATTATTCGCCTCACTAAAACGTGCTACGATTAAAAAAAAGACAAGAATGAAACTGGATTTAGGAGGTTTAGCGAGGAGGTGGGGGGGGGTTCCGACGTGGCTGAAACACATTCGTCTGTGCAACTCTTCTGAGCAATGTCTTCACTACTGTTGTGCCACTCACTCAGAAGTCAGTCATCCTCTTCTCTGCAGTTAAGGAACTAAATGTTAGGGTTTTTTTTCTAAGTCTAGAATTAGATAAGAGGCTGGACTGGACCTGTTTGCTGGGTAATCGCTGTAAAGTCAATTATCAAAAGACAACTTGACGTTGCTGAGTGAGATGACCGATGAGTTGATAGGTGAGCCTGATGACGTCAGTGCTTAACCAAGTATTTAGAACAACTTGGAAGCTCAAAAGCTGTCCCTTAGAAAAAAAGTTCAGATGTATCTCTCCAGGGGCTTCCGTTGTGTGAGAATACTAAACTAAGAATACGTATAAGTACTAACTAGTACTAAACACGGATATTTTGACATCCGTCTGTGACAAATGAGGAACCAGCAAATGACATCACAGCTGCATTGGTCAGCGTAGATCCAAGAAGGATTTAAAAGTGCTAGTTACGCATTACATACAGCAAAAAGATGCTCATGTAAAAATTGGAGGAGAACTTAAAGTCCCCTGCAAAATTAGGTATATATTTGCATAAGGTGCCAATTGTACTTCAGTGCAATGTTTGCTAGGACTCTTCTGGTGACTCCTGCATTGCGGTACAAAGTCCAGATTACAATTTAAACAGAGGATGCAGAAAGGTAAAGTATAACATTCGCATAATGTTCAAATGTGGAGTTAACTGGGTTGTAATAACAAAATACAATTTGCAATTAAAAGGAAGTTATTAATGTGCCACTGTGTTGAAACATCATAGATAGATATTTCACCGTGTACATTTTCACTACCATGAACGTAGTAGGACTGTAGTACTGTTTTTGCAGTAGTCCACAATATCAGTGGATAATGTCTATCACATAATTGAATGTGCCAATTAATTCATTAACTATTAATCAATTAAATTTCTAATAAAATGGAAACCAACACATAAACATTTCAGCACACATGCAACTTCATGTCAATCACAGGAATAGGTTATATAATCCCACACTTAACCAAAACGATGGATGTTGAGACTAGACCAGTAGTAAGTCGGTATCCAAGTCGACCCAGCAGTCACATGTGTTTGATTTTCCGTTGCAGCCACAACATTTTGACATATTCATTGGTAGCTGGGCAGTGTGACTGAAATGTATTAGCATTGAAAAACATTGACGCCAAAATGTGGTCCTGCTTCACCAATGACTGTACCCACATGATCTAAGATCCAACTGTTCAAAAAGCATAAAATTAACATTAAGTATCGGAGGGGAGGGGAGGAAAAACTTAGTGCTTAGTTTAGTCTCCTTCGATACGTTAGGCGGAACCAATTCTCTCCATCCGCGGCTTCCTTTTCAGTTGTATGAGTAGCTCTCGTCATCGTATTCTAGCTCAATCTCGTCCTCATCCAAGAGTCCGTACTTAAACTTCCGATACACTGTCCCATCTTGTCCCATGTACACAATGTCCTCATCCTCGTCATCTTCCTCATCATCCTCACATGCAATGACGCGGTCGCAGTACTCCCCGCTTGTGGAGGCGGTGGGTTGTGACGCGGTGCCCTCAGTGGTGCCCAGTTTCTCGTAACCTCCCGCTTTGGTTTTGGGTGCGATGACAAGAGATTTGGATCGAGCAGTGAGGAAGAGGAAGACCCCACCGCCCACGAAGACGACGAGGAGAACACAGGCAAGGACAAAGAGTTTAGGGCTGCCACCTTGAGCCTCTAAGTCCCCAGCATCTCTCATCACAAAGTTCACACCCAGGATGCATTCCTCTGAGAAGAAGGAGACGGAGCCCATCGTTAGGTTAATTAAAACAACGTAATCTGCACATCGGGTTTGTGTGTTTTACAATACTTGAGTTTTAGTTGAATACTACTGGCCATGAAAGCTTGGGACATGCATGCAGTCATGCAAACAACATGATTGTGGAGCCCTGAAAACTATGTGGGGCAACAAATGTTGCCATGAGTGGGAAGGCTATAAATGAATTACACAGGATGGCGACCATTACAAATTATAATCTCTGATTGAAAAAACTCATCAGTTACACTCGGAGTCGAGTCTCAATAGAGTCTGTGTCTTTGTGGGTTGCATTAAAAGACTTCTGGTTTACCCCGTGAGGCCTTGCAGTCACAGCACTCCCTGGGTATCGGTGCGTCATCGTGCCGTGTCTCATTTCCACAGCAGGACAAGCAGCGGCCTTCAGACAGGATCAGGAGTGCCGGGCACAACGTGCAGCTCCACATGCCGGGTCCGCGGCAGTCAAAGCAGGACGGGTCACATGGCGCGCAGTTTGGCTCATCACTATCGGACTCAGAGCCCTTAAGCGACAGAAGAATTTGTTACGCCGCAGACTGGATGTCAGTCGGGGACTTCCAGAGCGACTGTGATAAACTGCACTTATAGGTCCAATATATTATTTGTTTTTCAAGAGAGAAATGAGACTCTGATGAGGAACAAAAACAATGTTTTATACAATTGAGCAACACATAAGCTTTCTCACCTGTGAAGCAGCGTATTGGCCTACGAGACAACGGGATACACAGATGCCTCCCTTAAGAGTGTAGCCTCCATAACAGGACTGACAGGCCAGGGCGCCCCCATCTGGAAGGAGAGGAGACTGTCAAACGTCTTCACGTGACTTGAATTGACAGATTAATATCTTATCAAAGGCCGCGGCAGGCGTTTTAAATACTCAAGTGGGAGGAAGTTGGGTGCTGACTGTGAAAATAATGAAATAAAACAAACTAACAACACGTGGCAGAAATGAGCCATGACAGGCTTCCTTTACCGCTGCAGGTTTGGCAGGTCGGGTGACACTTGCGGCAGGTCTTGGTCCGGCTGTGCAGGTAGAAGCTCGGAGGGCAGCTCTGCAGGCACTGTCCCCTCTGCCCCAGGTAGACGTAACCCGCCCGACAGCTCAGGCAGTTTTTGTTACCAGGACCCCAGCACCGGCTACAAGCGGGGTCGCATCGCTCACAAACCATGGTGTTGGTGTTGCCAAAGTGACTGACAGGGGGAGAGAGAGAGGACACCAGTTTAGCTTGTTGGTGTCCGCCGAGGAAAAAGAAAATGCCATTCTGTGTGTCTGTGTGTTCTTTAACCTCTCTGAACAGGTTTCGACGCAGCTGCTTCCCTGCTTGAAGAATCCAGACTTACAGTCGACACACTGCAAACTGTGACGACCGGCACATGACTTACAGCTGAAGTGACAGCGCTCGCACGCGCGTTCGTCTTTGTCCCCGGCATAGTAACCCACAGGACACTCCTGCACGCATGTGCTGTCTGATGCACACAAAGTTACAATTTTATTTTTTTTTAAACGTGAAGTTTGGATGAGCATTTTTTGGTTTTCTACGGATACAGCTTACTGTGTAGGAAGTTTGGTTCCTTGCAGCTGAGGCAGTGGTCTTTGCTCGGCCCAGAACAGCGATGGCAGAGTTGGTGACACTGCTGGCACTGCCCATTGTGGTCCATGTATGAGCCCAAAGAGCACTGAATGAACCAAACACAGTGTCCACCGCTGTCTTTACGCCTTTTGGCGTCGCAACTGAGGCACGACGAGGGCTCGTGTCCCGAGCAGGTCAGGCATGATCTGTCGCAATCTAGGAAAAAGGAAATGTAAAGAGAAGCAGACGGCTGATAAACCCTATAATTATGTCGTACAGCGTTACTTTATTTTGCATGATGAACCTCCATCTCCCCTTACCTCTGCATTCATTAGCAGTGGCGTCGTAGTAAGTGCTGTTGGGACACTTAGCCAGACACTCTCCATTGTACCGGACGGCTTTCGGGTTGTGACACACAGCGCAGTCGTCAAAGCTCGGTCCGTCACAAGAGGCACAATCCGCATGGCAGCGCACGCACTCCTGTGGCTCGGCATAGTAGCCATCAGGACAATCACCCACGCACTGACCCTCATGTAGGAAGTAGTACTGAGCACACTCTGGGAGAGAGGAGGACATTTTTTACCAATAAAACGCTTGTTTGTGTTTATCCACGATGCTAACACTACATACATATTCAAAGTCACATACGTACGAGGAGAAAAAACGTTGTTATGCCATTATAGGTACTTCTGCTAAGGGTACAAATATGGCAAATATTGGTTTTCCCCAACTCAAATGTCTCCTGTATGTCTGCATCTTTCTTCGGGTCAGATTTCCTCTGGTCCTCACTACGTATACCTTCCAATGTCCCATGGCTGCGCTATAGCAGCACCCTGTGGATCAGTCGTCACTGGCGTCCAGTGAGCAGTGAACCGTCTCTCTGCGTTTCCTCCTCATCTTCCTTCTCTGCCGTTCAGCTACTTCCTCACTAATCCAAGTCGCCTTTCAAAAACCCCTCTCTTCAATCCCCGTATTGCGTTTCTCTGCCCTTGACTGTTTCGACCCAGCGTACTCACTCTTACACAGGCCACCTTGATCGCATTCTCCGCAGTGAGCCGGGCAGCGAAGGCACTGCGTCTCGCTGGCGTAATAGCCCTTTGGACAGTGAGACCTGCAGGAGTGGTCCAGAAGCAAGTACTGTTTCTCACAGCTCAGACAGTGAGAGGAGTTTCCTTGGCAGGAGGCACAGCCCGGGTCGCACGGCTGGCACACGCCACTCTCAGGAAACCCTCTGGGAAGGACAGGAGAGAATGAGGTGTCATTGACTTGTTGTCACGGTGTGCGTTCATCTGCGAGTCGAGAAATGCGAAAACAGAACAAGCACCTCGGACAATCCACCACACACACCCCGCCGTGGAGGTTAAGCCCGGCGCGACAGCGCTGGCACCGCTGGGCGTCCTCGCACGTGACGCACCCTGTCGAGCAGTCGTCACACCGGCTGGACGTCTTGTTGGCAAAAGTACCAGATGGACAACGGGACAAGCAGGTCTGATGGGCAGTCAAAAATCGACCTCGAGACAGAAAGACAAATCGCATCACTCACAAAAGAGAACAAATGGGGAGGTACGGTAGTATTTAAGGTCGATTCTTAATTATCCGGTCTCACATTCGCCCCTAAATGAAACGTACTGTGATGGCAGGTTTTCACACGGGTTCATTTAAAATGTTGTCGTTTCAGCAGCTCAGTCTGATGTGGCATAGAAGCAGAAAATGCTCACCAGAATCACAGCTGTTGCATTCCTTCTGCCCTGCAGCAGAGCAAGTCTCGCAGGTGGAGTGGCACGACTCACATTCACCCTCATCTGACAGTGAACAGCAAAAGGAAACCCCGTCAAAATATGAGGTCATCAATGACATCAGGAATCAGGAAACATTTATTGCCAAAATATGTCTTACATACAAGAAATTTGACTTGGCGGTTGGTGCGTGACAGTAGACAGTATGACACTAGACAACAGTGCACGAGTAGTAAAATAAAATGTTAATGCTATGGGTTAGTAGAATAAGCCTATGGGTTAGTTTAAAATAAAAGAATAAAGTTAAAAATATTTTAAAATAAAAAAATTAAGTGCACTAGCGAACAGGAGTGAAAAGTGATGATGACGATGAAGTGACGTCTGCAGAATGAAAGAAAGTGACCGGTGGAATGTCAGAGTGAGTCAGACAAGAAAGGACAAGAGGCCGAGGCAGAAAACATTTGGTACTTTTCCACACCGTTCCTGAAGTGCGTCGCAGGGCAGGGTGTAAGGTCTCTGTCGCTCGAACACTCCCCGCTCTTCAGTGTGAATCCGTCCTCGCAGGAGTCACAGTCGTCATATTGTGGCCCTCCGCAGGTAAGACAGGTGCGATGACACAGCTCACACTCCCGGCTCTCATCATCCACAAAGGAACCGTCCTCACAGTGATCCACACACGTGCCGCCTGGACACAAAAAAACACCCATTTTGAATGCCTCCATATACAGTTAAAGTTTTCTTTCAGAAACGATTCATGATTTGACACTTTTTACAACTTGGATGTTTCAGATGGACGCCAACAGATGGGGAACAGTCAAATTGGACATGTGTTGTATATATATTTTAAAACCGGATGCTAATCACGGGCATAAGCGCCTCCAGTTTACATTCACACCATAACTCAAAATTATAAATGGTTCAAATGCTTACCAGAGACGTAGAATCCCTCTTCACACCAGTAGCACTGGGACTGGTCGCAGATTACGCATCGTTGTTCACACGGAGCGCACAGCATGGTGTCGTTCCTACTGTACGTCCGATCTGGACAGGACTGATGGCAGTCTGTGTCTAACCTGATGGACAGAGGGACAGTCTCAGTATGAAGACATACACATATAGGAAGGAGTGCAATGGAACTAAACCCAAGAGACTTACTGGTAATATCCGTCTTCACATTTGAGACAAACAGATTCCTGTTCACCTGAATCCTCTGTGGTGAAGAGAAGAAATTAAACAAATCACTACCAGATCAGGCATACTGGGATTACTGGACCTGGTGAATTAGCGCCGCTTTCAATATCAAGGCAAGACAAAGAATGTTGTACATCCGATCAACCTCGTTATCACTGTTGCAATGGTGATCAAATGACATTTAGACATGATGCGCCTGTTTTACTTTGTTTGCACTGACAAAAACGTTACAGCGGTGGTATGTGTCAGTGAAACAATATCTGACCTCCCCTGCTGGCGCAATCCTCTTTATTTTTTCTAGTTTCCTTTCACACCAGCAGGAGGCGCTCTGACAACACACAATAAACGTGTTGAGATGCTGTAGAACTTAAAACAGATCAATCTGCATCGGAATGCGATGAACGTGGAAGTAGCCAAAAGATCCAACACAGAAGCTCTCACAAATGCAAACGTCAAAGACTTTCTTCAAGCATCTCAGTAGAACATCTCATCTTCAAGAAGACAGAAGTCACACGCTGCCGGCCTGTTGTGCGTCGTAGTCAGTGGCGTCCGCACAGTTTGCACCGGAGGGGTACTTTTGCTAAACTACGACACAAAAGCGAGCATGATGTGAGTGACATGTTATGCAAACCAACCTGCATATTTGCTGTTAATTTGTGTTGTACCACTAGAGACCCGAGAACCGAGCCACGAGATATGAATATGTGATTGAGTGAGAGAGAGGGAGAAAGTACATTTTCCCACAAATCTAATTCGCTCCTGCTGTCACTCAAAACCATCCAACCGGTGACTGAGGAAGAGCCCCCCTGTCATCCCCTAGTCCAACGACGTAAAAGATGTCTCCAGGGACAGAGGGAGCGAGAAGGAAAAGATCAGACAGGAACCACAGAGCAGTCGACTGAAAGAGAGGTAAGAGAAAGAGAATGAGATGAAACTAAACAGCCTCTTCTGCAGACTTTCCCCAGGGGCATTCAGGCTCTCCAGAGATCCCTCCATCGACCCCAACAACCCATTCCTCCCAGTCTCCCTGCAGCACCCTCAACTTAACACTGCACCGGTTTGTACTTCAGTGCGGTCGACAAGCCGGTACCTGTGAAAGCTATTACTCATACAGAGGGAGACTGGGACAAAGGAAAGGTGGGAGGGACAGAGGAGCTGGAAACCGTGCCTCCAGGCTGTGTCTATGAGAAGAGAGTAAATAGCTCCAGCATAAATGTGAGCTGGGAAAGCACGGGGAAGGGAAATTTCAACAGAATTCGGACCGGCATGCACATCCCAAATATGCACTTGTGGAATGTGCAAGCCCTCATACGGACACATTTACAGTCTACGTGCACCCACAGGCTATATAATACATTCACCCGCACAAGCAATCGCACATTAGCCTCAGTAATAGGAGGGGATGCACAGTCGGGAATCAGGATGGATGAATACAGTTTTTACCATCACCTCAAATTATCATTGCAGTCTGAGAAAGTGACGTGTTTTTATTGAGAAGTGGATTGCTGGTTGAGAAAAACAGAACAAATATGCCAGTAAAATGACGGAACCCCTTCAGTGTTCTAGCTCAGATATAGGCAGCATATGTCAAAACAGAGAACTGGAGGAGAGGCGTAAAGGAATGAGAGGAATACTAGGAATCAATTTGAGCGGATATTGAAACAAACTAAACGAATCACAGTGTGAATCATCTTGTCTTAAACAAAAAACTGTATGGAGCAAGTCAAAGAAATGGAAGAAGTAAGCACAGATACCCAGAGAGGCTGAATGGGGACATTCAGGGAAAATGTAAACTCAAAAGACAAAACATACTGATTGAAAATGAGTCAGCAGCAATATAGGGAGCCATGGGGCCATATGCCAAGAAGGGCTGACATAATGAGGGCTTTTTATCCCAGGTACAAAGCACATCAGTTGATTATGCCAGCCTGAGAGAGCTTTTATCAGTTATAAGTTATGCAGAGCAAAGTCAAGGCTGATTTATTGATATAGCCCATTATCCCAAATTTGCTTTAAAAGGCTTTACGATCTGTTCACATAACATCAACTGTCCTTGGACCCTTCATTGGAGATCGGATATCAATCTAATCCTGGATTGATTTAACAAATACACACTAGCAAAAAGTGGAGTGCATCCAAAACTACATCTGATGCCATGTGTAAAACCTTTTAAAAGTTGAGAAAAGCTAAATAAGTGGAAAATGTAAGCATGCACACACATTATATATATATATATATATATATATAATTGTCAGACACTGCATGCTCTGTTTCATCACTTTGGCCCGTAGTATTTCGTCATCATCATCTTAAATCTGCTGAATAACTAGTTCTGCTATTGTGATTACTAAGAGCAAGTAGGTTAGAGGGGGTTCGTGGTGGGGGTAAGAACGAAGAAATACATTCCACCCAGAATGCATAGTAACATAATAACTAGTTGGGAACAACAACAGCCTCTGGTACGTCCACAGCCCTTTGTGGGAGAAGAAGAGCTCTCGTCTTCACGTGGCTTCACTGACATGGCGAGTTGTATGAGTAACAGTTTTTACGGATTATATTATCAAATGTCACTGGGTTACAAAAAATCTCATTTGAAGCCTTCTCAGAAAAAGTGGATTTTTTATTTCAGCTTGGATTGGAAAATATTTGAACCCTTTGCAGAATATTTGAAGTTAATGGAGGAGATAAACATCAACAAGAGTGAGGCGCATTAAGAATCAATCACCACCATGAAGAGTAAATACAGGCAGCCCGGCTCAAGACAATACAATACATTCAGTACGGGAAATCCTACTTTATTAAGAGTTATGTTTTGGTTACAAGCTTTTCTGACGTGTCACTGTATCTCATTCCCAAGGATTGAAATAATGAAAGTCTCCAGCTCTGAAACAGTTGGATTTGAGCAGTGCACATTTTCTCATCTACAGTCACTTTGACTACAACATATATAATATTGTAGTGTTCTGCTGAAGCCATCGTGCACTTGATTATAATTTCTATTTCTATTTGCGTTGGTCGATGCAGGGCAAAGAGGTGGGAAGCGAGAAAGCGAGGCGGAAGAAGATGTGGTGGACTTACTGCGTTTACATTGCTTACATCCCTCGTCACAGGGGACACAGTCCTCTTTCAATGCATCTGCAACCTCACCTGATAAAAACAGCACGTATAGAAAAACATGAAGTAAAACAAGACAATGTTGAAATAACAAAACAATTGAATACATGCCAATTGCTTGATACTGGATGTAAATAGGTTGTGTTTCAAGTTACTTTAATAACAAGACAATGTTGATATCCAGATATTCAGCTATGTTGTTGATATCCAGATACGTTATTGATATCCAGCTATGTTGTTGATATCCAGATACGTTGTTGATATCCAGCTATGTTGTTGATATCTAACTACGTTATAGCTACTTCAAGCAGTCTGAGGGGCCTGTTAAGACCTGCCTGCTGCGTGATAAGAACTTCATCTTATCTCTCACATCTTATCTCAACCCTTAAATACTTTCTTCATTACCCTTCATCTACTTCTCACGTTCAAGTTGTAACTTCCCACCTCCAATTCCTCTACTTATCTGAAGGATCTCAAGAAGAATCTCACTCAAAGCATATCTTTGTCAGTCCCCTTTTGGCTGACACTAACATTTCATAAGTGGGACATGTTCATCCTTCACAATTTCCCTGAGGACATTAAATAAATTCAGCAAATATTTTTCAGATGAATAGAAAGTAGTGTCTGGCATTTTCATTAATGCACTTAAGAAAAAGCCAGTTTCATACAGTATTCCTACATTGCTATAATTGAGAATAACCTAATATACCCAAATCACAACATGGAGATGTTTTCATTTAATTAGATCCTATTCATTTATAGCCTTAGAGCATATATATTATATATCAGAAGCGTATCATTCCTGAAACTGCCTATTTCCTGGCATACTAGTGAAATGAGTAGCTGGGCAGGAAGAGCTGTGTTTTGGTCTTTTAACTAAGATACTGAGGTAATAATGAGGTCACTGGCCTAGATGTCCCCTGAGGTGGTGTCAGACACATTCAGCCAAAGCTCCGTGACCGTGGTGCTGAGCAACAGCGGTAATAAGATCCTTCCTAAATTCATTCAACATATTTTAAGCATGCAAAGTGGTGGGCTCTGTGATGGTGACATTAGTAATCAAGCCTGTCTTCAGGACAGGTTATAAGACAGTGTCTTATATCTAATGAGGCTCTGTCAGCATCTTTCACCTGTGCTGCACTCCATCGGGACACACTGGGCATTTCTGAGCTTGTGTCCTTGGCTGCAGTGGAGACAGTGATCCTCCGATGAACACATGAGGCAGTTTTCAGCACAGGGTTCACACCGTCTTCTTGAAGAGTGGAAGAACCCTTCTGGACAGACATCCCGACACTGGCTCTTAAAGAGGTACCTGGTGACCTCAAACCTATCTAGATGGAGAAAGACAAGGAAATGTTGTGAGGTGCAAAAGGGATATGCAGATGTATCCAAGAGAGCGGCTCAACAGCCTAACATCTCCAACTCAATATACGAACAGTGAATGTTGAAGACAACAGTTGTACTAAAGGCCTGAGCAGTTTGCAGAAAGTCTCTATTTGGTTTTTTTTCCAAATACATTTGACACAAACACTCATGCATACAGTTATACGAACATATGTTCATACATACATATAAAATGTTCATATTCACAGTGAGGCAATGTAACCAAATCTACCTTGAGTCCAGGGTTTGCATGCTACTCATGTGAAGCTGCTTTTGTTTGGGTCCTGTGTTTTCATTCATCTTTATTGATTTGGCCCTATTTTGGGGCTAATTCATGATTAATTTAATCCAGACCTGATTGGTTATCGAAAGTTTAATGCGTGAGTTTGAAGACACCTGCTTTATTGACATAACAAATCAAACGAATAAGTAAACTTTGAGCCACTTGAATACACTTGTGTGAATATCAGACGCTTGGTTTGTGAGCTCTAAAAAGATTCGTATTGCAAATATTGAAATGAGGGCACGCGTGTGTGTGTGTGTGTGTGTGTGTGTGTGTGTGTGTGTGTGTGTGTGTGTGTGTGTGTGTGTCTGGCCAAGATTTGAGAGGTTGTTTTGACAGAGAAATGACACGTTGAGAGACAGATGGAGGGTTTCTTCATGTTATTATTGTTATGTCTCAGTGAGCCTCAGACAGACCTGCAATTAAATGGAACCACATTTGCAAACAGTCTGACAAACTTGCCGGCTAATTGAGTGTGTGTGTGTGCACACGTGAGGGCGAGAGAGTGTGTGTGAAAGGGAAATCTGGTGTTGATCTTCTCCTTGGGTGTCTGGCATCACGAGGTGGGTGTGTAGGCGGGTGTGAGCGTAATATAATCTGCCCAGTGTAAATACATTAATTTTGACAGCCATGATACGATCTGTGACACTGATAAAAAAAGTTATTACGAACACCATCAAGTTGATATTTCTAGAGTTGTGAGCCTCTAATGACGTCCAGTTTCATCATAACAATTGTAATCGCTTCACAAGATCTTCAAACTATGCAAGGTAGGGAAAAACTAGGAAAAATGAAATTGAAATGAAACAAATGAATGACCGCCCTTTCAGCACATCAGCAAGCCGTGGCTGAAATACTGATGTAATTAGATTAATTTACCTTTAGATGATTGATACTGGAGTCAGAAACAAACGAGCCTTGACTAGCAAAAGCACTTGCATTCCAGTCACAGCTAGATCGACGGGTTTTTGAATAAATACCAGGGCACCTTTACAAAATGCTACCTGTCACTTCAAAGGCTAACAGCGTGCAGGCTTGAAAGAAAAACCGGTTATAACTGGTCCCGTCCGTTAAAGTATTGCAATTGCGATTAACTCATAGACAAATTTATACTTTTTTGTGTCGTCATCGACATAAAAAGAAGTAAAGGTTAAAAGGAATCGGTGGTTGATAAAACCTTGATCCAGGTCGCTGTACCTTTGTCACAGCTGGTGCAGTTGTCCGGTCCCTCGTCGGCACACTCGTGGCAGGTGTGGTGGCAGAGATGGCATTGGCTCCCCAAAGCATAACGCCCCTTCTGGCAGCGGATGTCACAGCGGCCATCATCAAAGAACCTGCAGGTGGGGATTTGGTTAATAGTGAACATGCAAAATAAGCCTCACCCACTGCAAATGTACATATTTATAGTAATACACATATTTACAGTGCAAATGGACCAAAAGCTAAGGAACCATAATAAGTCATAGAGCTAAAAGAGCTCTAACAAGTGTTTTGTTATAAGCTGCTTTTTATATTTGTTTACATGGTTGCTTGAACTATCTTCAAGTATGACATCACTAGTAAAAAAGCGCTTGAAAAGAATAGATACAATTGTATACACTGTCAAGATAAAACAAGTAAAACAAAGGGTGTGAGTAAAAATAACGTCCGTTTTGAGGAATCATTGAGAAGAAGGTGAGCTTCTGTATTTGCACACCTAAGGTCCTCAGGTGTTTGGACTTCCACAGCTGTGGGGCTCCAACCATTAAAGTGTGATGGAGCCGCAGAAGGGGCCTGCTGCTTTGATTAGCTCGTACGGCACAAGGATGCCCACTGTCTCTATGCCATTCCCTCCCCTCCACGGGCAGACTACTTCTCCAGAGCTCCCATCTGCTCTGCTCGTGCTGAAGTAGTCTGCCCGTGGCGCGGAGGGAAGCGTAGGGATGAGCTACCGAGCTACCGCTAATTCTGGTCTCATTTGCGTCCCGATAATTGTTAAATCAGTGCCTCCATGGACTGCAGGATGTCTTCATCCTTTTCTTCACAAGAAGAAAATGAATGCCGACAACAAACCAAGACAAGCTTTATGTTAAAGTAACGATAAAATGGTTGGAAAAATTGAGTGTTGTCAGTATAATGGTGGAAATAAATATTATGCCCAGATTTTCTGACCTAAAATAGTAAATGATTAAGACGTGACCCGTGGGGGACATGTGGTGAGGTACATGCTTCTCACCGTGTAGGAGGGCAGCTGGTGCAGTCCTCGCTGTTTGGACCGGAGCACTGTAGGCAGGTAACGTCACACAGGTGGCACCTTCCATTACGACTCATGTACTCGCCTACAACAAAGCATGAATAAGGGACTAAACTAAAATCATAAACTCACCATGTTTACCAAAGAGTATTTTCTCACAGCGCGTGAAGGAGTAAACTTTGCTCGCATTCATCTCAGACACAATAATATAAAATGCACATGGGATACTGTGTCAAAAGTTGTAAAACAATTGAGAGGAGTTCCAAAAAACACATCAAGCTTCAGCCTGACACCTGGCAACATTGGAATAAGCCACAACAAAAGGGACAAAACATTGTCTATTGTCCCACCTTTGTATCAGACAAAGGTGACAGACTCAGGCGTGAGGACGGCGCTGTGGGGTTTTGGTGCGAGTCAGCATCCTTAAAGGAAGCGGCGCGATTGTGCGTGCTCTGCCTCGCCGTGAAAAGCTCAATTGTTCCTTTCAAAACAAAAGAGCTTCTTTGTGTACGAACACAACAGGCGGTGGCATCCCATTCAGTAACGCTCTGCTGAAAACATTCAAACAGCCCCCAAATAAAGCGCTATCACACACACGCAAATAGTCTCCCGGTCTTTCCGTTTTCCTCCTCCACAGTCACGCACATAAACAAACAGGGAGCCGAGCTCTCCAGGGACGGAAAGCCGCACAACTCCGCTCGGCAACAGCAGACAGGTTGGACTCCCAGCTGCCAGGCGGGAGAAGAATGGAGCAGAGAAGAAAGAGAGCCGGTCACTCAGGGGAGTGAAACCGTTCCTCTTTTGTGGACCAGCTGACCTTGTGAGGACATTGACAGTCGAGTGTGTGAGGAGAGGGAGCTCCGCTGACAGATACAACACTGACATCCACCACACCGGGTCCTGAATAACAATTACCTGGCCCCTCTGCCTCCTGGTACCTGCAAATAATTATATTGTGTATAATATATCCACAATATCCTGCTATAAGTTGTCAGGAGAATATAGACCTCTTTAATATTGTGCAGACATGTAAGCAGGTGGTTGTAGTGCTCGACCTGAGGGGAAATTTATCTTCTGTATTACAACCATCCTATCAACTCAGAGGCAGAGTCCTTTCACCAAATCTAACCTGCTAACCTGTTTTTAACTGGTTAGTTTCCTTTCCTTTAAATCAATCCGAATGAGCTCAGAAAAAAGGAAGGCGTCTGAAAGCAACCATCTGAATTTGAATGATCTTACCTCTTTCAATAACTCTTTTATAAAATAAAAGTTGACTGAAAAAGGAAAGCTAATATTTTGTAAAGGAAGTGAGAAACTGATGAATGAAAACGCAAATGGTTCAAACGATGACTAATACACGGTCAACATAAACCAAAAGAAAAACATGAACATGAACAGATTAAACATTTTAATAAGAACACTTAAGTAAAAAAGATTTTCAAAACTAGGACTTTGAGTAACATTAATAATGCATCGTCACAGATATGTCACAGGTAAAAAATAAAAACAGCTCTTATGAGGGTGTGTGTGTGTGTGTGCGCGCGCACATCTAGTCAATTAAAGTCATTGTAAACAATGACCAAGAATACGTTTTTGTTAACCAGAACAGGGGAGCCATCAATCTTTATTACAAATCATCAGGAACCATAACCAGTTGACAGTACAACAATTCATCTAATACTGTAAATGCTCAACGTGCAGGTATAAAAACCCACACGATTAGAATAAGAGTCTTAAACATGATATTTGCCGTTATCAGAAACGAGCAGCACAGGAATAGCCTTCTAGTTCCATCAAGTACGGTTCAGACAGGAGGAGAAACCAGACATCTGAAGTCTGTTGGCTTGAACACGAGTGAAGTTGAATAGCATTCAACGATGATGTTGTCAGTTCAAAACAAAATAATGTAAATAAGAAAAATTGGGAGGAAAAGGAACCTAAAGGTTTAATCCCAAATCTATTTCAAGATCTATATTTTGAACCGAATTGATGTTCAAAGATCCCTTTGCCGTCCGTCTGACTGAGACCATTTATTAACATCATAACGGCAGAATATTTTCATTGACCTTCTTAGTTGGCGGTGTAGTGCAATACTTCTGCCGATATGCATTGCTATCAATATTGGAATGGATAATGGAATGACAAAGATTAGAAATTCTAAAACTTTAATCATGAGAGCAGTAACGTAACAAATATGACTTATATTATTTGATCTAGTGACAACAACAATTTAATTGTTTTGTCACTGTAATGAATAGAATCAATAATAGGTTTTGGGCAAAAGTTTATAATCCCAAATCTGCATCATGAGCAAAAAATGGGCATCGGTGCATCCGTAGCAGCGCAAAATCGTTTTTCTCCACTGCGGCGTTTCCTTCCCCGCAGAAAGCTCCGGAAGGAGGAAGAGCTATCGACTCGTCTTCTCGTACCTCTGGGATGAATCAATGCTGTCTGGGCTTACATTAAGAATTAATGGCATTCTCCTACTCACACCAATAAAGACAAACACACACACTATTCAGAGGGAAAGTTTATGTTTGCAAATAAATGAAATTAGGGGATTTTGGTCAGTAACGCGCATCACTTTTGGGATACGGTGACGCTGTGGTATCGGACTCCAAGTGGTGGCTGATTTATGTGTCTGGGCTCATGTTTATTAGTCTATGTGTGTGGTACATGTGTTTCTTTGTGTGAATGTGTGTATAGAAATGTGTGTGTGTGAACTTGTCTTCCCTCCTCTACACGGCCAAAGTCAGCCCAGACAGACATTATTTTCACATTACTAAGTGAGCTTTTTTTTTCTTTGACGTATATTTACAGGCAGAAAAATCAGGGCCTTTCCTACTGTATATTCACTTTCCATCTGTTTATCATTAACACTAGAAAGAGGAGGAAAAGGAGCCAAAATAAAAATGCACACAGACATATTCAGAGATTCACAGGTTTTAAACTATGCTTCCTACACTGGAAAAAAAAGAAAAGAAAAAAGGTTCAATTATTTTGGCATCGATGCTTTGGTCACAAAATACCGACACTTTTATTCTTTTGTTTGTTTTCACTTTTGTTTTCATTTGCTTGTTTTTTTTCTTGAAATACGTCCCAGTCCTTTACACCCTGACCACGTGTACGTGTCCCAGTACAGAAAAAAAGGTAGGTTTGTTGTAGTCCTGTCATCGCACCTCCGATGCAGTCCCTTTAAGAGGCACAGATTCTCTTATAAATTATGTGACTGTGAATGTGTGGGCAGGGGGGGGGGTTGAGAAGGAGGGGTGGCCCCTGCGCCCCCCACCCCCCCTCGCCCCGGCACTCCCTTTATGCCCGTTGAGAACGTCCCGTCAACCCTTTTGCGAGCACGTCCTGCAGCACAGTTGCTGCAGCACTTTCCTCTGGCAAAGATTGTTCTTTTTAACGAGCACGCAGAAACTGCCTTCCGCCCAAGATTCTTCATTTGCTTTCCACAGACCAGGAAGAAGAGATGTAAGGGGGGTTGAAGGAGGGGGGGTGGGAGTGGTGGGGGACATGCACATACACATTTAAATGCATGTGGGAAACACACACAAACACACAATAGGGCAGAACCATCAAAAATGATTGAATGGCAGGTAGAGCAGTGTGATTGGTCAGGACAGGGTTCAGGAAGAGTTTTTTGATCCAATCACAGGTGATGTTCATCAAGGTGGAAAATGATTGTTGTCCAGTGGAGAGATTGGATCCACGTCGGGAGACAGGAAATAAAAATAAATAAAAACAGAGAGAGAGAGAGAGAGAAAGAAAAAAAAGTCACACAATTAGCAATTTGAAGATTTTTTAAATTCACAACTTGGTGTATAAAAAAAAAGAAAAGGGTAAAGTGGACCACCAGTCTGCAAACATAGCCAATTATTTTATTTATTAAAACCATTTAAATGCCACCTTTGAGCTTTGGTTTAGGAGGGTTTAAAACAGACTGAGTGTGCACTTTAAGTAAAGTACTCATCATGAACAGAAAGGCCTCACAGTAAACACATTATGCTCTGGAAGACTTTTTTGGCCCCGGGTCCATTTTAATTAGAGGACCATGGCTGGACCAGCAACTCACACACTGCGGTCATAATCCGACCATCACCTCAGCCAGTTAGTGAGAAACAAGAATAAGTCAAACGAAAAGAAAGAAAACACCATAAAAGAAAGAGTAGACCATAAAGCATAGGAATGAAACAGAAAATGCAAGTAAAAGCAACAAGAAAATCAGATTTTTTTTAGTTAAGCAAATGATATGAAAGAAGATCGACATAACAGATTTTAGATGGTTCAAGAAACCAGTCAAAGTACAGAAAGAAAACCAGAACAAAGTGAGTTTATATTGTAATGTAAAAAAAAAAAAAAAATGGATGAGTGCGTTTGTAGTCCGAGAGAGACTTTAAATTAGTCATGTGTAGAACATGAATGAGACCTTCAGATGAAGCACAAAAGGCAAAAGCAAGGACAGACTGCCCTCCTGCATTCAGGCAGGTTGATTCAAGAAGTTAGTAGAAAGCAAAAATATTATAAATAAGTGCATCGGTAAGTCCTTAGCTTGCACTTAATAAAGTTACCTTCTGCAGTGATTTTTCATCTTCTGTGCGATATAACAACTGAATTAATCTGGAAAATGCAAAATAGTCTGATTCCAATTGCACTTTAAAGTATATTTCTTGTGTGACAGTCCAATTCAATATTCTCGCTGGTTTAAACAGTCACTTTAAGATTTCCCTCTGGACCACACTGTTATGCATTACGACTAAATGCTGAGCGGCAATGAAAGCATAAAACTATCACATTGAGGCCATCATGCAGATAAGAAATCTGTCAAACTCACCATCTTTGCAGATGGTGCTGACCACACAGGCTCCTGCCTCCAGATTGTAACCACTGACACAGCTGCTGCAGTTCCTTTCACCGGGCCCCGAGCACTCGTAGCAGCTATGGTCACACCTGTCGATGGGTGGATACAGGTTTAGACACCACTCTGTGCAGCACTACACCCATATGCTCACATGTCCCACCTTATAGTTATTTATTTTCCTCAAACTATTTTACATTTCCAAATTGCTGCTCTCCAAAATGCACTCAATCATTGATGGCATACATGTGATGTGTGTGTCAATATTTGTGGAATGTGTGAGTGCAACCAGGGACAAAAGAGTGGACCTACCAAACTGAAATCCACAGCAAAGGGTACTTTTGATGTGTGTATTTGCACTTATGTGACCACCATCAACACAAACACTGTCTGATCTGCCAAACATGCTTTTCATTTATAGGCTGTAGTTCATTTATTTGTCCCTTTCAGAGTGTGTTGGTGAGCAGTGTTTGGAAAGAATTAGAACGTTTTAAGTGCGGAAACAGTTCAGCAGAGGGCAAATCTATCACATTTAATGTGAAAATCAAAAACATTCTAATAGGAAATGATTTGACCAGGAGATGACCAGAGAATTAGGAAATCCAGTCAGTGAGAAAGTCAAGATGGGAGAAGGACATATGAAGGAAGAAAGTTAACCTCAAGAAACGATGAAGTAAACAAGGCGACTGATAGGAGGTCAAACAGTTATTAATACAGCAATAACTACGTTTATAGGTTCTTTTCCTTCTCATCCAGGTTAACATTAGTGAAGAGTGAGAACTGTGGGAGGAGTGCAAACAGCTTTAAGATAGAAACAATGACTGCAACATTGGGAACTTCTGAAAGGTTTCTTTAAATTATGCCAATTTATCAAATCATAAAAGTTGCAAACTGAGAAACTGTTCACGCCACGAGCTGCGGGCAAATGGGCTGTGGCCTTTGCTTTTGGACTGAATAGAGCCGGGTGAAACAAAAATGTTTCTTAGATAATGTCTGTCGTTAGATTATGTCTGAAGAAATGAATTTGAACAACTTTGAGCCTTATCGATGCATTCTGTCCTGCTGCGTCTGATTCCCGGCTGCGTGCCGGTACCTCGGCTAAAGGTCGCGTGGAGCTGCCGGACATCAGCTCGCCGTGGCTAACAAATGGTGGAGATAATAACCAGAAAATATAATATTGCTACACTTTCAATCACACAGCAGCAAATGAGCCGGTTGTAGGTTTAAAAAAATCTTTAATTATATGGATTATATGGAATATTATTTCCACACAGGATTCAGGTTACAAACATGTAATAATCGGTCAGTTTTATTCAAAGTTTTAATACACAAGTTAAAATATATTCCCATGCTAAAAAAAACATAGGAAGTTTGCACACCCCTGCCTAAAGCTCTACATTTCTGTTCTCAAGATCTCTTTCTAAATCTTTGTAGACTGGAGATCCACAAGTTCACTGAAGAGGTGTTGGCAGGTGTGCTGACTCACTTCTTACAGGACCTCTGCACCTGCCCGTTGTCTGAGGTCTGCTCTGACAGGTAGTAGCCAGTGCTGCACGTTAACACACACCGCCAGTCCTCAAGCAAGTAGCCGTCGGCACACTTTGTGCAAGCCTCTATACCTATGCCTGGAAAGACATAGACACACATTTCAGGTATGTTGTTAGGGCATTATAGACCAAATGTTGCTTAACAACGGACGTATACGCAATAAGAGGTACAATTGTGTGCCTTCATACCTGCGCAGGTGGCACAAGCCCGATGACACGGCTCACAGTTCCTCCTGTGGCCGTTGTAATAAGTCCCTGGGTCACAGGTCATCTGACACTTGTTTCCTTGAAGACTGGGAGGAGGAACAAACACACACACTCCTGATTTTATAGTAAATACCAGGGACAAACAAAGACAAACAAAACATCCATTCAGGTGGCAGCACTATCTCTCATATCCAAATGTTTGTTTTTTGAAAAATAGATTAAAGTCTGTCTGTTGAAGAGCCCGTTTCATTAGAAGTTTCTTACTAGGCAAATATTTTGGAATAATGATGACAAAAGCTGCAGCACTGGTATCATGTGGGTGTATACGTTAGCTGCTGGCCCAGTTTAGTTTTTCACAGATGCAGAAGAATGTTTCATCTTCTGAATTGTCATCAAATAAATTTTGTTCTTTGGAAGAAAAGTTATAAAAGATTTTGCCAGATGCAGGGAGTAGAAGTGAGTCAGGAAGTTGGTTTTGCAGGTTACAAAGTCGCTTCTGTAAAGTCGCAGTGAGGACAGGTCGGTGAGCTCGCCGAAGCAAACTGAAAAACAGCTGGCCTGCGTTAACGTTTCCCAGAAACGACCTCGTCTGGTCCACTCTTCCTCCTCGTCTCCTAACCGGCCATGAATGCTGCACTGAATGGGAGACTGTTGGATTGTGCGTGTGTGGGCATGTGTCTCACTGTGGTCTCGCCGGCATTCGGGGGAAATTATGGCTTACTGGTGTCCCCACCTCCACCTCTGGCTACGCTGAACCCTTAAAGCCGCGTTCAAGACCACAATATGTTTTAAGTGCTTCACAAGTGTTTCTTTCATGACCTATCAGAAATTCCAGCACTTTGAAACGCCCAATCCGTTGTCAAGTGTAGTTGGGTTTGTTTGAAGCTGTGGAAGTGACCAGAAAATGAACTGCAACATGTATTTATGGATAACTAAATTGCTTAGATCAGAGGTTCTTCAAAGTGAAGACCACAAACCCCAAAAGAACAACTGCTCCACTTCTTGTGGGTCTCCACGTTACATGAGTGTGTGTGGGTTTAATAAGTCTCGGTCACAGGATGAAACTCTGTTTACTCAACGTGGGTCCCAGGAGGGAGATGGTTTGGGAGCCCTGGTTTCATTTGTTCATGCTGCAAAATCAAACCACAGCGAAACAATATGTCCTGGTCCGAATTAGCTACAAAGTACTGTATTCCTGCAGCATCGGGAGTGAATGAACACAAAAGATGTTTATCCTAAAACCACAACACTGACATTGAAGCTAAATCAAATCAAAATGACAAAACGTGAGCGTTTGTACTAAAACACAGTACAAAAGAGGACTGTGTGCAATGGTTGATCCTACAGGCTGTGATCAATACAAGCAGATCTGATCTCAGTTATATTGTACACACTATGTTGTCAATATCTTTATATACAACTTACTACAAATGTGTTTAGGTGAGCTGCATCTGAAACCACACGGTTTGTGCACATGGGGGACATTGAGGGCAGCTGTGCCCCCCCCTCATTTCTCCCCCAATATTAGACCAGAAACTTAAACCATTATCAGAGGCCAACTCAGTGTTTTTGATGGTAGTACCTAAAGGTTCCCCTGAAAGGTGTTGTCAGACACAGGAAATACAATTTGTTTGTTGTGTTTGCAGCATTTCTGACAATTCAACCTCCATCAAAGCAATACAAGTTAAAACGTGTGTGATCACGTGTTATGCAGCTACAGACAAAGCAAGACAGAAACAATCCCTGTCAAAAGCCTAATGCTCTGAGTCTAATCAATAACTCAGGCATCGATCCGCATGACTCCCAGTTTACCTCATCCCAGGTTTACATTCTGTGCAGATGTTGGAGGTGGTGCACTTCTTGCAGTTCTCTGGACATCTCCGGCAAATGTTGGAATCTGAAAGACACCAGATGAGGCTGCATTTATGATTAAGAAATGGAGCAGAGGAAGAAAACAATAATGGAGGGGGAAGATAATGGGTGAGGTGAACGAGGAAGACCAGAAGGAGAGGAGAGGAGAGAGGATAAGCAGAAGAGGGGGAAGATTAACAAAACACACGGAGCGGAAATGTCAAAAGGCCAAAAGTGCTGAGCTGAAAAAGAAGATTCTAGAGTTGGTAACGGACGATAGGAAAGTAACAGACAAAAGGCTATGACACGCACAACGCACAGCGCACAACGCACAGCGCACAACGCACAGCGCACAACGCACAGCGCACAACGCACAGCGCACAACGCACAGCGCACAACGCAAATTCTGCTCTCAGCAGAGACGGGGATTGGACATTCATTCTTTCATTCATGGGAAACCACAGACAATGACTAAACTGTTATTTCTACATTTACAATAAAGCTCCTTTTCTTAGTTATTATGGTTTTATTTGGGAAATCATATGGTCGGGAGTCAGGGGAGGAGACTGACAATAAGTCAAGATTGTCAGTGAGAGTTTTGGGAATCCTGATAATATATTTCAAGGAGAACTGAAGGTAGATTAATTATTTCTTAATTATGTATAAACCATGTTTATAATACATTTTTGGTCATTTAAGAAATGCAAAACATTGGAAGTTTTAGCTTCTCAATTGTGAAATGATTGAACTGCCAGTTACTAGTACCCGAGAATTTGAAGAAAACCGCATTTGGACCGAACAAATTGTAATTGCTATTTTTACTATATCTATAAACTGTTTACTCCAGAAATAAGAAAGATTTAACAATGAGGAACATATCCATTCGTTGCTATTCTGGTCCATAGTTTTCTTATGGTGCTGTGAGATTGTAGGAAACTGACACAATATTCACAATTGATAACACACATAACGTACATCTGATGAAAAAGTCAGATGCAAATCCCAGAGGTGGGACCAATATATTCTGAAACAAGTCCTTGACTGCCGGGTTGCACTCAATATTTTAGAGTTTAAACATTGCAGAGTCCGTTTGGCCACCAGTGAAACGTACCATTGTCGAGGTAGAAGCCGTCCCCACAGTTGGCGCCACATGTGTTGGCGCCCTCGTTGAGGTGGAAACCAGTCCTGCATGTGGTGCACTGGTCGCTACGGCTACCAACGCAGGTATCACATAACGAGGAGCACTTTTTACAGCGCTTCCTATCATCACGGAAAAAGCCACTGGGGCACTCCGACACACACATCCTGGAGACAGGGAATTTATAGGAGAGACAGGAGAAAGCCAGGGGAAAGACAGTGTCACAAAAGACAAAAATAAGGGACAATTTATATCTCTTAGACATATTCCGGTTATAGTTTATGCTGACTGTATGATGAGACTTCAAAAGAACCTCATTTTTTGACAATGAACAACCTTCATCAGACAGAATCCATTTAATGTTAACAGGTTCAAAATGGAAAGCACATGTCTAATGGAAAACGTCTCTCTCTCTTATGTAGGTTATTATGGCAAATGTGTATAATGCAATTACAACTAAAAGCCTTCATATACTGTACATGTGCTCTTCAGGCACAGTTATTTATATTTGATATGGTTTTAAAGGAGTAAAGCGGAATATTTTTGTAAACTTCCATTTCATGTATAAATGGACAAGCTGGACAAGTAGAGGAACCAAGTGTGTGCGTGCAGGGGATATATGATGAACAGGTGTAACATCTGTTGAATAACTTCACAGCCCCCCCCCCCCCCTTCTCCCTGAGGCTCCTTCATAAGGTGAAAAAGATCTCCAAAATCCTCAAGAGCAAAAAATACACACACACACACACACCTCTTTAAGCCTTCATCACACATTACATATTTTTCTGCCAAGAAACACACATTGCGTGTGTGAAACACATAATCCACAAGTGCACGTACACACTGCCATGTGTTTGTCCTGCAGCTTCAATGCAATTAGTATTTAACGGATAAAGAACACTATAATGAAGCGTCCACGCAGCAAAGAAGCCACTCAATTGAAAAGTCTTTGAAATTGTATAGACAGGAAATGCTGACCAAATAAATGTAAAAGCACAGCCTCCGACAGTTACAGTGCTTTTGATGGAGAAAGATCATGACTGCATCTACAACCACAGCAGAGAGGGTCATGTCCTCAGTGTGCCTTTTTGCATCGTGACATTTACACTCCCTGGTTCAAAGTTATACACGGAGAGCTTTTTAGACGATGTTAAGTTTTAGGTAACGAAAAATGACATTGATTAATGAACACAGCGACTAAATGGTTTGTGGATGTAGTCCCTGTGAAGGTAAAGGTAAAACCAAGCTTTGAAAAACTCCTGCAGGTAGTGAAACTCTTTGACGGACTATTAAGAGTTCTGCCAACAAGCCTGTTTACAACACAATGTACACATAGCGGAGCAAACTTCCAAAGACCCACACGCCTTTTGGGGGGTCTAGACCATCAAACACATGTGTAGGGATGTAATTATGTGAACATTAAACAACACCACCATCCCTCCTCCTAGCTTCCACCACTCCCCCAATCTCCATTCATCAATTGCTCCCTGTGGAGGCAGGAAAAGGGCAGCACACCTCTAAAGTGGGCTAATGATAAGGCATCGGCTAAGCTTGCATGGTCTCATGCACCTGCACCGGGTTGCCTTTTATTAGTGCAGAGACCCGCCGACACAAAGGCAATTAGGAAAGACTTTGATCCTAATGGGATCCTTAGGGCGGGCACACACAGACACACACACACACACACACACACACACACACACACACACACACACACACACACACACACACACACACACACACACACACACACACACACACACACACACACACACACACACACACACACACACACGCACGCATTCACACTCTTTTTAAAGGGGGAAGGGAGAAACAGAGAATAACATGACCAACAAGAAACAGCCTCTCTGCTATCTTACGAATTCAGACCAAAAGAAGACAAATGGTGAGAATATTACGAGAAGCTAGAGATGTTGTGTAGTTTTGACACTGAAGGAACGTAGCCGAATGCATTTGTTTTGGCTCAAACAGTGAAAACGTTTTAAAGCAGCTCAGAGCAAACCTTGTGTGTCATGTTTTTGTCTCCTGTTGTTACATCCGAGCAAGAAAGATACTGTCATTCCTATACTTTAAAGATCCGTCTTCAACCAAATACATCCAAGATTCAACTTTATTGACGTGACATCACCAGTAATTCTCACCAATTTTCACCATTTAAATAGAAAAATCATACTGCATAATTTACTAAATCTATATTGCATTTAGACCTGCTTAATAATAAACCGATTTATTTCACAGTGAGGGACCCTTAAGGGTTCTGACCTGGTGTTGTTCTTGAACTTGAGGAAGTAGTGGAGGCAGTTGATGCAGTGATGGGGTCCAGGACCTTCACAGCCGTTCTCATTGCACTCCGAGTCACAGGGGCCTGTTGGCACAAAAAGTAACATAGCAAAGACATCATGACGTATGAAGAGGTTTTATGAACTCATAAACGCCGTTAAAAAGGTTATGTGCAACTTACCATCATTGTGACGGGACACTAAATCATTGGTTACTTTGCAATGTGCGCTAATATGGCCAACCTGTCCATGTTCGGAACTCCTGACTCACCGTTGTACTCCTCGGTGAACTCCTCGTCGGTGGAGCGGGGCTTCTCGCTGCGCAGAGATGAGTAAGGGTGCAGCGAGGTGCCATAGGTCACCAGGGACCATTCTTTCAGCTTCCCTGAGGAAACAAAAGCATCGTGAAAGTCACGGTATCCTGACGGCAACTAACTAGGCAGAACCTCTACCTCTCCTAACCCTCAGCTAAAAAAAAAGACGTGTTTAAGTCAGGCAGCTGAGCGGGATTTTCTTATTTATTTCTTTTCAGTTGTAACATGATAAGCTCCCCATAACCATCCAACAATACACACAGTTCTTTTCCAAGTTAATTTCCACTAATCCACGTAATTAGATTGTATTACATTATTTTCTCTTAATAACACTTGACAAAATTACCCGGAGGTTACATTGGATTGTAGTGACTGCCGGTACAGCTTTTTAGAAACTACTACTCTCCATTTGACTTTATTATGTTGTTAAATTAGTGGGTCATTTGAGCAGTTAAATTCACCGCCTGCAGAGCAACATGTGACCTTTTGCTGTACTTCCTCCTGTTTCTTCTTACTCTTACTCTGTGTGATTAAACGGGTAACTAGACGGATGATTCTTTTGGAATTAAAGGAGTTAACAACACTGTCATACCGGGTACTTTCTGGCTGCGGAGTTGAGAAGGTGAATCATAGATCTCTAGGACCCAGTCGCCTGCTGCCTTCTCTCCCCAGCAGTGGGTGGTCATAAACTCCCAGTTCTTAAAACCCTCCATGGAGTGATCAAACAACCTGCACATCAACAACACACACACACACACACACACACACACACACACACACACACACACTCATAGATGAGGAAACGACTCAAACACTTCAAACACCAGTACAAACAATTTCAACCACTCAACAGAGTGCAATCGCAGTCTCAAATGAACCGTGGACAAACATTGTACATGGCTGTTTTCATTTGAGGGGAACGTGGTCTGAGTTCATTCGTGCACTCGTGGTGTTTCCGCCCCCAATTTTCCTTGTTTAAAAAAGCACACAGACAAGTGAATTTCTTTGGAGAATCAAGCTAATTTATTTAAATGGCTGGAAACACCAACTGTAATTAAGCTTTATTAAGCATTTACCATGGTTTAATTTAGAAGCACCTCGTCTTTTTATTAGGCTTAATTTTCAGTCCCCTCTGTTTTATGACATAATTTGCAAAAACTGCCAATATTCAATATAAAACCCCATTCCGAAAAAAACTAAAAATACTCTTTCATTTAGTACGATGTCTTTGCAGCATATGTTGTATAACATCACACACAATTCATCACGACTGGCTCTTTTACCTGTTGGCAAGAAGCTGAGACTTGGTCCCTGAGGGTGAGGTCAGATTGATTGACAGGTCCCCCCGGCGAGGGTGTGTGATTGTAATACGTACGACCACGTGTTCCAGGTAGATCACGTGGTGGTTGGGGTTGTCAGTGCATCCCGTTGCCTTGTACACCGACCGGACCACATGCTCCGGACGGATAGTTCTGCAACACAAGTTAAGAACCAATCAAAAAGGTAGACACCAAAAGAGAATTAAACTAAAAAATATCTTCCTTTTTTATTTCTTCCACTGATGTTCCTAATTTGATTGCAGGTTACAACAAATCAGTCCGCCAAAAGAAACAAGAAAAGGCGCACTTTTAACCAGCTCTAATGACAAAAAGTGGGAAAGCCCAAAAAGGAAGTTGGACATTTTGTTTTTAATTGATTTGCTCGGCCCACTGGTGCATTATGTTGCATTACAAATTTCCAACAGTCATCAAACATGAACAAATATTAGGTAAATAAGAAGAGACTACCGCATATTGAAGCAGACGGGACGGCCTGCCAGAATAAAAGCATGTTATATATGAAAACTTCTAATGCTTCAGACAAAACCTGGGCTTTGATTAATCGCTTCAGAAAATATCAATGCATCCACATATTTGTTAATGACATCACACTCAATATTGAGTTTCAATACAATGAGGCTAAAAAGGAATCACATGTACAGTGATTTTTACATTTATAGAAACGAATAACCATGAAAAAGAAAAAAAGAAAGACAAAGAGGTTTTTGTTCTGCCTGTCCACGGATCACCAAACATTTAGCCAACACAAACATATAAGGTCTCCCTCAGCAACGTCTGCGGTATATAATAGCAGTACTTTTTTTAGAAAAACATAAACATGGACAGTTCCAGTTGAGCACCTTCCTGCTACAGCAAGTACAACAGGGTGAACACGTGATGCTCCGAATGTGTACTCACTAACTGTAGTACTGGTTTACTTGTGAAGGACACTTGTTATCAATATGACAAAAAATGATTGCTATAATTATCACTTGAATTAAAGCCAATGACTTTTTGATCCTATAGCCAAAACGGTTTCATTTCAACCTTGGTTGTCAGGGTTACAATGACAGTGGGGACATTTTTAGGGCCTAAGCACAGATATTTATCGTTAAAAAGGAAATTTGCACCAAGACAATTATTGGCTGGTACAGATTGCCAAAAAAATGTGCAATGAAGATGAAGCTTTTCTCTTGGAACAACGTTTTACTCAAACTTGGCTCAAGAATGAACTGAGACAAAGAGTCACAAAGTATTAGATTATTAAAAGTGCCTGTCAAGACCAACAAAGATTTCAATTACAGTCATAAATAACTGTTTTAATCATTCTATTCTGCTAATCTTTTTTTGTTTTAAAGCCAAGTGTGAATCGTCAATCATTTATATAGTTTTAAGGGGATTAATAGTCAATATATGCAATTAATATTAAAACCAGTGGAAAATGTGAATTCCAAAAGCAAAAGGCATGAGCTCAGGCAGACATGATTTCGTAAGTAGTTAATGACCGTTTGGACAGCGGGCCGCAGTACTGGCTGGGGAGTCTGGGGCTGATATCACAGCTCTGGCTTCTCCATGACACAACACAGATAACTAAAGCGTGCGCAGGGGACCGAGCGGAGCCGACGCACAGCTGATCAACACCATCCTCATTACACACGGATCAGGCAGTTTCCCTTTGTCCGCGCTCCAAGTGGAGTGAGGCGGGCGGCTGCAGACAGACATTACCAAATGCAGTCAAAGGGGCCAGCCAGAGGGTGTGTGGGAACATGCAGCGGTGAGGTGATGGCTGCACTCAGTCAGCACGTCACAGGCAGAGAAAACACATACATCTGCTGTAGATGAACACCAGTGGGGAAAAAAAGAGACCCGTACAGATCTGCATCCAAAACGCATTAACAAAATCTGTGAAGAAAGCAGACACACGTTCATGACCCAAGTGAGCACTGTGACACTTAAAAATAGATCTTTACTTGATGAAGAGGCTAGTTAAGGGTGAAAGAATGTTTCAGACTTTTAGGGCAGTTTTTTTAATGTGTTGCACAATAAAAATGTCATGACGTTTTCGCCATTGTTCCAAATCCAAACCAAACCAAACAAAATAAAGCCCCATGTTTCCTAGTGACTGCCTGGTTTTACTTTGTGAGCCTGTCATTTGGCTGGTTGGAGGAAGCGCTTAGGCTACCAATAACTAAGGAATGTTTGATTGACCATTGGATACATCTCCAAGGCTATTGAAACATATGTTGCACTAAAAAACAGCCTAAAATGACAGGGTTGTCTTCATTTATTTTAATGAACAACATTGCTAATCTCTCCATGAGCCAACACACAATCCACGAGTACAGAGAGCTTAGCACAACAGCCTGGAGTACATACGCCTCATATGGCCCGACTTGTGCACTGAAGCAGAACAGACAGACATGACACTGAGAATGCTGCAGTCGCCGGCCACCGAGCCTTCGACTGAAAGCAAACCAGGGCCCGAGTTCAGCCAGCCGGCCTAACACAGAACGGTACTCAGGCTTCCAGCTGCATCAAGAATAACAAGCTGCGAAGCCCTGGCTCTGTCCTGTGCACGTGTGTGTGTATATTAAAAGGTCTTATGTGAAAACCACCCTGCCAGAACTAATGCTTGGCCCCTATCAAGGTACAGCTTGCACAACCGCACTCTCAAGCACATGCTGGTGGATGAAACACCAGGAAAAAGAAAGAATGCAAGAAAAAACGACAGATAGGTGTTGTCACAAAGGCGACTCACTTTTGTGGCATTTCACTTCAAACTCATCCATTACTATGTCAGGAAATGTCTGCGTGTTTGTTCTACCTTATTTGTCGGTCCGCGCTCTCCACACAGACGTGCTGAGTGGGGACTTGCTTCCATCGCTCCGCCTCCTTCACCATCGCCTCGGCATCCATCAGACCAAAGCCGTAAAGGTGGCTGACTGTAGGAAGGTGACAAGTCACAGCTGATCAGACCGCTCCAATGCAACACCACTGTTTGTCTTATTAGTTATGGTTTACTCTTAAAAAAAAAAAGCGAGTGTTTATTGTTCAAAAAAAGATTTTTTCCTTATTTCCCTCCATCTTAAAATCGGGAATCCTGAAAAGAACTAAAAGAGGGGCTCACAATAAATCAGTAAAGACCTCTAGACAAGGTTGTAGCCATCTTTAAAGGCACTTAGAATCGTACGGTTCTCGTAAAGGCGTCTGAAAAAAAACCCAATTCCATACCCTCATTAACTGAAGTAAAAATACTGAGGACAAGTTAGTTATCTAAAGAAAAATGGGTTCAACAGCTCAAATATCAATTCCTTCCATTCTTCTTCCTCTCCTCATTCTGTTTCTCTTTAGTTCCTCTTTCAAAAAACAGTCACTTGGAAGATCTCCAGGCACACTGGGCCTGCAGCGTTTATCATCCCTTTGATTGAAGGAGTCAGATCCAGGTGCCAAAATACTGCAAATTGACGTGTTTGTCATTGTCTTGTATTCTTTATGACATTGTGTGTGTGTGTGTGTGTGTGTGTGCGTCTGTACCATTGTAACCAGCAGCATTGGTCTTCCAATCAGGGGCGCTGAGATGTCCGGCTCTTGAGGTCTTTACAATTATGTGCTGAACATCTCTCCATGATAGAAGAGGACTGAAAAAATACACAGAATCACACAAATACATCATTATATTTATTGTAAAATAAAAGCCTCCCAGGACAAAGAAGCTTGAATAAATAAATATATAAATTCATTGTGTAAATACCCACTTTGCTATGCACAAATAGACATACACATTCATTTTGGACAACTTCAACGCTGCAGATTTAAATACAGGAATAGTGAAGAGAAAAACGTTTTAAATCGTCTAATTATGTCGTGAAAGGTAAAGAAAAAATGAATGTCAAAGGGGGACAATAAATGTACAGTAAAATATGTTGGTGAAAGAGAAACATAAAAAGTTTAAGATTAAAGGAGAAGGAGGTTAACGAATAAAAAGGAGGAATGTAACCTATTAAATGTAAAACAAGGTAAATTAAACATAGTAAGAAACAGAATTTGGACGATTACTGAGAGAGAAAATGACAGAAGCTTAGACGTGGAGCATCAATGCCGGTTCATCCGTCGTCAGCTTCCCGGATCTCACGTGAGATCCATTACGAGATGGCAGCAGTTTGCCTCAACCGCTTTGATGTACAAATGCTACGTTCAGAAAGGAAAAAAAACAGGAAGAAGTGGGTCACCAAGTTTCCTGGGATTCCCTTCCATCTCATATGCCGACCAGATGCTCCATTCCTTCCCCTCGTCTCCATGCGAGACCTCCAGGATCTACGCTACTCTGAATCAGCAGACCTAAAACTAATATCTAACGTTCATGCACCAGACGTTCAGGTCTGGCTTAAAATCCTTAACATCTGGGATATTTCTCCACATCACACATTTAGCTACTGACTTTACATATCGACTTCATCCGGTAAAATCTTCTGGTAATTTCATCTGCATGGAGGAGCAGCACTGGGCTGGAGATCATCAACGTTGTGTATTGTTAAGCTTTGTTTTCTTGTATTGTTTCTATATATACGTACATAAAACAAGTCAAAATAATGAATGTATTGATTATTATTAATGGGCTTCGTCGCCCTGTATAATTATGATTCCATACATGTTTTATGGTCATTAATTAAAAGTGACTTTGGCATCGTTATCTAGGCCACGACACCATTCCCATAAACAGGCCAATACTAATTAATGGAGCAGCTTGCATACTGAGGAAACCCAGCAGCAAAGGAGGTCGTCTGATACGAGTTTCTTGGTGCTTCTTTTCGGCGTAATTATGGATGAACACATGAACGCACGGGTGATCTGAAGGAAGAAAGCGAGGAGGTAAATTGATACTCCAAACGTCAAAAATGTCAAGAGGCCCACTCCATCAAGCCTTTGTTCAGTCCAGCCACTGAAAGATTATCATTATTTTTAACTTGAATATCTGCTTCAGTAGCTTAAATTTTAATAACAGAAGAACGCAGAGGAAACCGAGTTCGATTTTTGCTCGTCTGTCCCTGCTTTGATTGATTAAAACCTCTAAGTAGATGACGTAGGTTATCCTTGCTCGTTTCATGTTCATCCCTTCTAATTCCCTCACTGATAAGTCCTGTCTCCATGTTAACCACTTTACCATTATGCCCAGTACAAAAGGAAGAGTTTCTGAAGCGCTCAAACATTGCTGACGCTGTGCCAGACCCATAAAGTGCTAAATCATCTGCTGACTTAACACATATTAAACTTGGCAAAATGTACAGAGAATGGAGCGCTCTCGTACGAGGGGGAAAGACCTTACGACAGCGAGTAAAAGGAGGTCTAGCGTAATGCAGTCTTGACATGTTTATCACAGAGAGTTCGCGCTCTTTTCTTCACCAGATAAGAGAAGATACGATCAGTATTGCACAGTTTGTCTTAACTTTTTTTCCCCCCTATCCCTTTCATCTTCTCCTCTTTGCCTGCATGTGCATGCATGCAGGATTATCCATGTGAGAAAATAAATGAAACGATTCAAGGAAGGAAAAGAGCATTTGCCTTAGAGGAGGAAAAAGAAAAAAAAAAAGACCATCCTGACTGTGGCGGAGGCACCGCACGCACGCCAGAGACCGAGTGAGAGCTGGTAAAAGAGAAGAAAGGAGGCAGGCGAGAAGGAGTGTGTGATAATCTTGTTGAGGAAACAGTCTTATGTGCCCAGCACGGCCTGGAAACAGAGAATATTTTCTACTGGGAGGATCTGGATTGGATTATCCAGGTTAAATGAAGTGACCTCAAAGCCGCTCAACATGTGATGATGAGGTGAGATCCTGCAACTGCACTGGCTTCACTCCAATTACACCATGTGTCACAAAAAAGGCACGCATCTGCATGGCCTCACACAAGAAGCCACCAGGGCATCTAGAAGGTAAAATTAAATAAAAAGCTTTTAAAATCCAGCTCCATCGCTGAAAAGGCAAACATTGAAATTGGCACTGCAGAACCGTGAAGAAGAAGTCTTCTTATAGGTTTGAAAATAAAACCATTTGGGCATTGGAATGCACAATCCCAATATTTATCCCACAATACATCAATACCTCAGACAATTGTTTCTTGTATTCTACATCTATTCATGTAGTTGTGATGTTGTATAGCAAGATAAGATATAAGACTTGTTGTGTCATGTGGACCAGTTTTTTATTTTGGCGAAAAAAAACAGAACAGTTCAGAGTTCAAATGTGTGCAGTAAAGGATAAAAAATACTTCAGTCTCAAGGTCCCAAGACAATATTGGACATACACACACTTCAGCTGCTGAAGTGTGTGCTGCAAACAGCTTTTCTTACTAAATGGAGTGCTCAGTTCTGTTAATGTTCAAGCAAAACTTACCAACTGAGATTACAACCCACCAGCGGGAAACATTTGTAAATATAACATTTGTAAGTACTATGGTTTACTAGAAAAAGTGTAAGCGGAGGGCAACTCTGTACCCAAACCCCCTTAAACGCTCTCAAAAGATGCACCGGAGGAACGGATCGAGCAATCAAAGTGGATTCACCTTGAAAATGATTGTTTTGTCAAATCAACAAACTGCCCACTATCGATGTAGGCTTGGCACCAGAATAAAAGTTAAATATTAACAGCAGATGACTTTCATTCTGCCAGCTGCAATCACTAAATGTGAATTAATCTCTTCACATCGCTGAAACATTGAACCGATCGGATGCAGGTGGGTGAAGATAAATGTACTCTTTACATTACGCTCTCTGGCTCACCATCCAGAAGAACATTTACATTTGTTGAACTGAACAGCACGATTGTGAGAAAATGCTTCACATGCTCCCCATATAAGGGCATTGGAAGGTAAGCGAGGGGCAAACGGATGAGGTTAAGTGGATCTTACTTTGCCTCCAGGGCCAGAGCAACAATGGCAGCAGCCATGGGAGCCGAGGCCGATGTCCCTGTATGACTGTCTGTACACCGATGTCTCAGGTCCGTTGTGATCTGCAAACACAGGAGAAGAGAAGGAGAGTGAAGACATAGTCGGAGGAGAGAGGAAGGAGCCATAGAAGGAAAATACAGCAATCAAGAGAGGGAATAAAAGGGGCAGGGAAGAGACGACACATATCCTGAAAGTGAAAATGGTGTATTAGAAAGAGGAGAGAGAACGAGACAGAACGACAGAGTGAGTGATTAAAGTCATGAGGGTCAAGATCTATAACTCACATTCCAGCCATGAAACACTGCCTCACTACAGATATCACACACATGTAGTAACACACAGGGACACAAATCAACAGTTTCCACAGGAACTAAAAGGGATGAATCCCCAAGGACAACCAGTAAGAAAGAGTAGTTAAGCATGTTGTTAAAGCGCCGTACAGTCGCCTGATTGTTTGGACTTTAAACAGCCAACCGATCAGACAATCAGCCAGCCAAGAAAAGCTTGTCTGACTTCCAGTATGAAGGTTAAGGGATCATCTGACCGTACACGTACAGAATGTGAAATGGTTAAGTAAGAAGCGAAAGTGGTCCAATGGCACCAAGTGGACAGGACGGCGCATGCTCAAGTAGATTAGACCGTCATTCACGGAGGTTCTACTGCACTAACCCACAGCGACACAGAGAATGTGCCTCTGTGTGTGCGTGTTTATTTGTCTGTGGCATCAGAATGAGGAATGTAGCAAAACACTGCCAGACAAGCTGGCTCACAGTGGACAACTGTCACCGTCCCAGTGGATCATGGGCACACACAAGATCCTTACAATCTTTCGGTCGTAGTTCTCCCCGCTGCTGTAGGTTGTGGTCAGAGTGGACGAGCATTCTTCCAGGTACCACGGCTTGCGTCCGCTCTCCGCCGTGCTGGAGATGGAGATGGTGTAGATGGAGTTGGTGTATCCGTCGCAGGAGCAGTGGTCTCTGCTGCGGCCGCCGTTTCCCGAGGCCCACACGAAAATGGAGCCGCGACCCTTTCTCCCCTGACAGGAGGAGATGCAGAGAGGATAACGTAAGAGGCCGTGGATTCGTTTCAGCACTGAGAGGTCGTCGCTCTTCATCGGGTTCTGTTTAGGCTGGATCTTCTTTCAATGTTTGTCAGAGGAACGACTAATGTGTTCAGTGTGCAGAAATCACTGCATGAAGAAGAAATGAAGAGCAATGATGGCAATATCAGTGACAGTCAGAGGCAGAAAAGATCAGTAGGCAGCAAAGCCTGTATATGAGAAGTTGGCTGCCTCTGGTAACTGTGATTACATTCTAGTGCAGAAATCATAATGTTTCAACTGGGCCGACAGAAGTTGTTTTTTATTTCCTTTGAAAAGTTTACATATCTGCAATAAATTAGACACAGAATGTATT